CTGTGCAGTGAGGAAGGTGGGCAAAGCAGCAGTGAGCACACTGGGGGGCATCTAGGTGGAAAGCACGTGTGACTTCCGTAACAAACATGAGTGCAACCGTGTTTTCTACAGACACCTAAAGGCTCCTGGTGATTTCTGTGCTGCAGCCCATGCCTTTTTTAAAAAAAGATATTTATTTGGTTGTATCAGGTCTCGGTTGGGGCAGGCAGGGTCCTTAGTTGTGGCATGTGAACTTTTAGTTGCAGCGTGTATGTGGGATCTAGTTCCCTGGCCAGGGATCCGAACCCAGGCCCCCTGCATTGGGAGTACAGAGTCTTAACCACTGTACCACCAGGGAAGTCCTGCCTGTGCCTTTTCGAAGCTTCCAGTAAAGTGAAAAAAAGCGTAATCTCACAATGAGTAGTGGAGTTCAGCTGGCTCTGAGTGTGCCCTTCTTGCTTTTCTTGTTTGCTAGATATTTCAATGAATAGGAAGCTGTGAGATTAAAAAACGAAACACAAAGCTAGAGAGGCACAAGGAGCTAACCTTAAATAGCTAGTGGAGTGGAGGCCCTTACCTTTCTTCCCAATGTCTTCTTGAGAGGGGAACATATTTTTATCTGGGACTCTATATCGGCTTTTGTAATTGGGTAAAAAAGCCTGAAATTTGTAATTATTTAAAACTACATAGGGATATATATCAATGTGATATTTGCTTTCTTGGGAATCCTAGTAAAAGTAAGTTAATTTCCCCTTTCTTCCTTTTCCTTATTCTTTATTTTTTGACTAACTTTCTCTTCACGACAAGCCCTCACCTACTAATTGAAGACAGTCTTGCTGAGGGAGGTACAGGAGTTGAGCATGTGTCTTTAGGTGGTTATGTAAGATCTGGCTTAGCAAGAATGAGCATTAGCTTCTATAACAAGCTTTCAGGAGACAGTTGATTTTTCCAGAAATCATCCTGAGAACAGTTTCCCTTTATTTCTTCTGGAACAGAGCTGTAACAATCCAATTAATTATTACTAGCCACTTAATTATTGGAGTAGCAATCTGTCCAGGTGCAAGGAAGCATGGCATGCTCATAATCTTGTGTGTGTGTGCGTGCGTGTGCGCACTGTGCGTTGTTGGTAGATGTAGGGAAGAAAGCATATTGAAGTTTTCTGACATGCTTGGATTCGGACCCACGTGTTATTCCAACCCAGCAATTTCGGCAGAGCAGTTAACATAAGTCCCATCTTTTCCAGCTGTCTGTCTGGCCAGCAGCTCTATCTGTTGTCACTTCCCTGGTCAGCTTTCTGTTAAGGTGGTCTTGGGTGGAGGGCTTCCCTTGATAGCTCATCCTTGTCACAGAGGAGTTTAAGAGCTATGAGCATTGGTGGGGAGTTTGCCAACTCTCTCCCTGCCCAGCAGTGATGTACATTAATATCATCAAGTGTCTCATCAGCAAAGCAGCTGTGTTTTGCTGAAAGGCCTCCAAACACCTGATTCACGTCTTCCCTAGAAAATAAATTATAATGGCCCCTGTCAGCTGACACCTGTGAGAAGCCTTACAAAGCATTTTCCCCAAATATGAAACAGTCCCTGCCTGTTTTTATAATCTTCTGGGCAAGGCTTTAGGAAGTTCTGCTGCGTCAGCCAAACTGATAAGCAACCCTCCCCCTTAGTCCGTGTACGTTGCTGTGTTTTCCTGACCTGCCACTTCCTGGCTCAGCTTAGGCCTGGGAAGCTGCATGCAAACCCTCTCATCTCCAGCTTCAGTTCTTGAGGGTTTAGGCAGGTTCAGAGGGCAGCTGAACTCGGCGTGGGCATTCCCAGAGGCAATTGAGAAGGGTCTATTTGGGTATTCTCAGCATGAACCAAGTCGTTCTCCCGTCCTGAGGCTGCCTAGGGTGACAGGGGAGGTGACAGCAAGTAAGACCTGCTTGGTTTGCTTCAGGTAAAGGGAACCACTTGCGTACAGCTCATTTATTTATTTATTTATTTATTTTTTGCGGTACGCGGGCCTCTCACTGCCGTGGCCTCTCCCCTTGTGGAGCACAGGCTCCGGACGCGCAGGCTCAGCGGCCATGGCTCACGGGCCCAGCTGCTCCGCGGCATGTGGGATCCTCCCGGGCCGGGGCACGAACCTGTGTCCCCTGCATCGGCAGGCGGACTCTCAACCACTGTGCCACCAGGGAAGCCCCAGCTCATTTATTTTAGATTGAACAGTAAGAGGTTGGCTCTTGAATTTTTGATATTTTTACCCTGTTCCAGAAAAACAAAGAGAGTATCTGTAGTCTAAATTTTTTTCCCCTGTACTTTTCTACTGTGCAGTCTTTGCCTCTACATCACCATTAGGGATATGGCTGGCCATTTAAATATACAGGGAGGGTTCATGTGTGTGTGTATGTGTTTGTATGTACTTGTGCACAAAACAAACCTTATGAGATCGGGGGAAATGTTCCCTTTGGTTGTTGGTGTGCATGTTTTTCCTTTCCTTTCACTAAGGCAAACTTTGGTGCTCCCTGCTTTTGAATCCTGGATGTAATTGGGTCAGAGGGTGATGATGTAAGTGGTATTGTGTATATATATATATATATGGATTTGGTATGAAGATATATATTTCTATATGTATTTACACAGGCACTAGAGATGAACTACTCAGAAAACCATGTTGTGGAAAGTTCTTTCTTATAATTATGTTAATGATTTGAATGCTTTTAAAGATCCGCTGTTGCATCCTATACACTTCTGTCTGGGTTTACCCAAGCCCAACACATAACCTCACAGACAACTTATAGGGGGCAAGCAGGGGCAGGGAGGTGCTTGCATACTGGCCAGTGAGCCAACACTGCACACCCTTGAGGTGGGAACTGGGCTCAGAAACAGCATCTTCTCAAATGCAACTTTTCATGACTGACAACACTCCCTAGGAAGGGAGCTCCCAGGCAAGCCAAACGCCCTGTGGCTGCTTGGATGAGTCTTCACCGTGAGCTGGGAATGAACGGGAAGGAGTGAGGAGGCAGGGTGAGTGTGGGGAAGGGCTGGAATAAGAACAGGCTTGCACTGGACCTCCCTCCTCCTTTCTGGTTTTATATAGTCAATCTGCAATTGAGTCAGAGTCACCTACTCAAACCTTCTTTCACACAACCAACCAGTCCATCATACACATTCATGCAATAAACAACTCTGCTCCCCTTCAAGTAATGCACAGGGAAAACCATCAGAGTTTTTAACTCAATGTTCACTTACTCCTTCTCTTTCACTCAGAGGAACTAACACGAATTCTTGCTTCAACACAAAATCCTGCCCTTGATGAAGGAGACGTGGGTCTCTCTCACACAACTGAACACCCGACTTTGCAAAGTTGGAGAGACTGGGAAGCTGGCCTCCTGGGTGGCAGCCATCTTGGCTTCCTGGTTTCCCATTGGGCCTCCATTCAGAAGAGCAATGATGGGCACTGCCTGTGACTGCCATGCTCTGTGGAGTGGGCTGAGGTTTTGTGGAAGGAATGCTGAGCTTGATCTTTATCTTTATTCAGTTGTGAGTTCTGCATCCTGTCTCCCTGTGTTAGGAGGGACGTGCTCACCGCAAAATCATAGCAGCATCAGTGACACAACAGACTGGAGAGAAGCCATGGTGTGTGCCAACTTAGATGCAGGATGGCTACAGAATAATGCACCATCCTCTATTTACTTTTTCATCTGATTATAAGGAAGCATGATTTGGGGAAATGAAAAACTCTGCATGTTTTTCAGTAAGTTAGTCCACCTAATCTTTTTTCTCTGTCGGTTTTATTTTCTTTTGACGTAGACCTGAGAAATCGTACAAAATGTCAAATAGAACTTGGGAGCGCTGAATGAATGAAATGAAGATGTCCCTTGAATGCTCTGAAAATCAGATCCTTGAAGTGACTGGCTTGAAGCCAGTGTAAAGAAGCTGTTGAGTGTAGTCTGCAGTGTACTCTGTGAGCTAGAAAGAGTCCCAGATGCGGTCCTGATGGCAGGAGAGACACCCATGGTCCATGAGCTTTAACCAGATCCTGGTCCTGGCACCACTAGACACAGAACTCAGAAACCTTCCTAGTTAACAAATGCCTTTCCAAACATCTTGAAGCTGCCTTAATCCAAGCAGTATTGATCAGTCATTCTAGTTCTATTGGTTGCAGGAACAATGATTTCTTCCTTCAGCCACTGAAGCCCTTTGTGACCACACTGGAAGATGCATTAAAGAACCACGTCCTTAGGGGGCAAGTCCCGCTGAGCGCCTCTACTGGATGGTATTTCTTAGTACATATCCAGGCTTTCTTGGCAGGCATTTTGATGCCCTTAGCATCAAAATACGTCTGAATGACAATCACAACTAAACTTGCCCCCCTTCTTTTGATGATAATGGGACATGCATTGCAACAGTATAGGTTCAGTTTATATAGTCTTGCTGTCCTAGAAGCGCACTAATTTGCTTTGCAATCATATTTTCTACTTGCATGCTGGGGCAATATATAACCCCCCCTCCCCCAAACCCAACCCTGGTCACCTCCCCCTTGCCCCAAACCAGTATCCACCCAGCCTGGGTTTTACCTCTGAATGTCCCAATAACCCTGTGGGTTTCAGAGAGTGTACCCCAGTTGGGGTGGAGAGACGGTCTTCCTGGTTTGGCTTGTGGGAATATTTTGGAGGGCTCATTTCAGGGCCCCTACAGGCCCTCTCCACCCAGCCCTCCCTCGTGCAACCTATTTTCCTAAAATATCCACCGTACCAGGCAGAATCCCAGTATGTCCAAGGTAGGCTGAAGGTCACAGCAATGATTCTCTTAGCTCACCTCTTGCACTTAAGAGGTAAAGCTCAGACTGAAGGTTGATGCCCCTCTTCAAATAGGTACTAGAAATATACTAGAGCTATCCCTGAAAAGATGCAGTTGTATTTTTATATATATATATATATATATATATGATTATATATATATATATATTTATAATTTTTCTTTCTTTGTATTTGTATACAGGTATGTACTACTCTATAGGTGTGGAAGGAGAGGTATAATACAGGAACAGGCAGGGGTGTGTGCATGTGCATCTATACATAATATATATATTTTATATGTATATATATCACCTCTGTCATTCTTTGCATCATGACAACGACCAGCGAGGAATACCTGTGAGCAGTGCAGGGAGAGAAGCCCCAAATGCTGGGATCTCTTTGTCTCTTGCATGGAGCCACTGCAGGAGGCAAGGGTGGGAGCAGCCCAAGAAATGAGTGGGCCCAGCGTGAAGCCACCCCCTTATCAAAGCCACCAAGGAGGAACACTTGAAATGCCCAGGGCTGTGTGCCAGCGGAGGTCAAGGAGCCTACAACCCTGAGCGGGGAGGGACAGTCCATTTTGTTGGCTCAAGATATGGCTTTTCCTGCTAGATGGAGACAGGGCACATGAGGATTCTGTCTTCCAGGAGGACGCTGACCACGAGGAACCCAAAGTAGAGGCCAAACATGATGAAGCCCAGCACTTTGTTCATCCTCCATTTGCAGAGGGCGATGGAGAGGATGACGAAGAGCAGCATGATGAAGAGGAGGACGATGGCGCAGAAGAGGCCGTTGCTGCTGACGGCCACGGGCTGGAACCTGTGAATGGTGGTGTACAGGAGCCAGGGCAGTGGGAGCCTGTGGGGGAGAGAAGCAGGGTAGAAGGGGGCGCAGTTAGGCACGCTGAGGAAGGCACAGGACGGAGCGTTAGCTTCTCGGAATCTGTGACTGGAGACGAGTGTCCTGTTAGGTTCACTAGGACTCAGGCCTGGCTGATGCAGGGAATCATATTTACAAGGAAGTCAGGTGAACTTGAGAAACCTTGATCTATTTCCCAGTCAAATTAGGGAGGACAGAGAGAATGTATTCTACGGTTGAACAAGATCAAAGACACGGCTGCTGCAGGTGATTTCTGAACTTGATTTGAAATCATTTTTTTGGGTTTCCTTCCTAGTTGAGATTAAAGTGTTGCTCTTAGCCCTAAAGAGGTGAATTGGGGATCTGTACAGGATGACAGGAGGAGATGATAAATGGAGAAAAGGTATGGAAATCTGTGGTGAAAATGACCAAATTATTTTTTTTAAATGGAGACAGAGAATAGCAATCACACACACACACACACACACACACACACACACACACACACACACATCCAATTCTGGTGAAGTTGCGGTTGACAGCACTACAAATAGATAAAAACCCTTTGGGGGAAATATGACATTTTTAATACTTTTGACCAATCAATTCTATTGTCGGGGATCAAGCACAAGGAATAATTTGAAATGCAGATGCAATTTTATTCAGAAAGGTGATCATTTCAGCGTTATTTTGAGTAGTGAAAAATCAGGGATAACTTAATCTCTAATAATAGGCAGGTAGTTAAATAACAAGCCATAAGTCATTGTAATTTTATGTAGCTATTAAAAATCATAAACTTATAATGATACAGGTAAATGTTCATGGTATGATTCTATATTTAAAAAGAAGGATAAACATAAACATAGCAATCTAACTTCAATAATAAATTTAAAAAGTGTTGGTTTGTATTTATGTTTTATATATGCTGATATGTTGGTTTGTATTATGCCTTATATATATTTATGCTTTATAGGTATTTTTTAAATGCTTTACCTTGAGTATGTATGAATCCTATAAACAAGAAGCAAATGCTAGCAAGACTATGAAGAAACTGTTACACTCAATATATTGCTAATGACTTTGTAAATTGGTATAAACTCTTGGGAAAGACTTTTTAGAAAAATATACTACATCAGTAGCCATTGAAATGTTTATAATCTTCACTCCATCAATATTTCTTGAAGAAATTTATCCTAAAAAATAATTAAAAGAGGAGATGTTTCTGCATAAAGGTGTTCATAAAACACCCATGATATCAGAAAATTGAAAAAAATACAAAGGTCCTACTAAAGGGTAAAGGCTAAACTGAAAGCAACGGGATGGAATTTTTTTTTTTTTGTGGTACGCGGGCCTCTCACTGTTGTGGTCTCTCCCGTTGCGGAGCGCGGGCTCCGGACGCGCAGGCTCAGCGGCCATGGCTCACAGGCCCAGCTGCTCCGCGGCATGTGGGATCTTCCCGGACCGGGGCACGAACCCGTGTCCCGTGCATCAGCAGGCGGACTCTCAATCACTGCGCCACCAGGGAAGCCCTGGAATATTTTGAGCTGTAGAATGTTAATTATGAGAGCTCTGAAGAAACTTAGAAAAATGGTTGATTTACTAATTTACTAATAGATGCCTACTCTTTGCTAGGCATAAATGGCTTTAAAATGGAAAAATAAAAGCCCTCCAACAGGGCAAAATTGATTATTCACTAAGAAAACTTTCTGAAATATTAGGAGAAAAACACACAAAAGTTAAATGTTTTGGGGTAGTAGGATTAGGGGTGATATTCTTTAAACTTTCATTTAAGTTACAAGATATATAAAATTTAAGAACAATGAACAAAAAGCATCTTGCATTTCACTATATTTTTCAAAAACATGACAAATTTGTCTCATAGAACACTTGTAATTTTTCCCAATGTGTAGGATTTTCTCTTTTTGTGCTACAGAATATTTTCTTTCTGTTTATACAAGATATTGACCAAGAAAACTACTCTAAATGTGTCGGCAGTGGAACTGAGAAACACTGTTTATACTAGGGATGTCTTTCCTTTAAAATACACCTTTTCAGGCATTCACTCTCTCATTCACTCGTTCATTCATTCATCCATCCACCCATCCATTCATCCATTCATTCTACAACTGCCAAACCACTGCCATGCATTAAGCATTGTATTAGGCTTTGGGGAGTTCTTGTTCTTGGGGAGTTCACAGTCTAGCAGGCAGACTGATAGACAGGAGCATGAAAAGAGTGTGAGATACAGATATACAGAAAGTATACAGGAGCACGAGCCCCCAGGCAAGACTTAAGGGAATCAGAAAAACCACGATTTGAGTTGACACTGGAAGGGTAAATTGGAGTTTTCCAGACAGACAAGCAGGGAGGGCTCCTGAGGGAGAGGTGCCAGCAAAGGAAGAAAGAATGGTAGGAGAGGGCATCTTTGGAACTCAAAGGTGGTTCAGACAGTGGAAGCTCAGAGCAGGGTTTTATGCACAGGTAGTGCTGGAGTTGAGAGCACAGACTCTGTTCAAATCCCAGCTATCTCATTACTAGTTGTGTGAATTCTGTGCCCTTTGGTTTCCTTATCTGAAAAATGGGGATGAAAATACATACGTCATAGGATCGTCGTGTGGCTTAAATAGATAAAAATGTATGTACAGTGCATGTGGTAGATACTGAATGAAAAAATTATATATATTAGGTAGTGGAAAAGATAAAAGAGAACGATATTCAAGATGTTCAATGAGAAAGTAGATCCGTTTTAGTGGTCTTCCAAACTCAAATGCAAGAGCTCAGTTCTTCCGGGAACATAAGGATAATATCCCATGTCTTACTTTCTCAAGGGGCTGTCCTTCAAGGTTATTTATCAGACTACTTTTACTTGGACACATTAAATGAAATGACAGAGATGACAGCATCCCTCCCCAATCGGATCCTCTTGAGATTATTCATATTGAGAACTTCAGTTTGCTTAACTGTAAGAACAGATCTCATCTTCTGACTTTCAAAAAAACCTAGAATATCTTCACCAGCACAGATAAAGAAATGATAATGCCAAATCTGCCAGCATTTTCCAAGGAAGGAGATGGGATATTTTTTCTGGGCCTATGTTTGTTTCAGTCTGCTTTCCAATCCAAATCTCATCTGAGGCTGGTGGGGACTTTTATTAGAATTAGAACAGGGAAAAAAATACAGTGAAACCACCAGAGCATCTCAGTCGCCTATGAATGCTGACTATTCATGACATATAGCCAATGCCACTTTATAGGTGAAATTCTCTTAAAGTATTTCCTACAACACCCACTCCGTATGCAAGTTATGTGTTTCTGCCTGTGTACGGATAACTTATTCTTCATGAAGTTCTCTGAAAATGAAAATTGGAGTTGGTGAAATTGAATGGTACTACCAGTGTTTACTTTCTATTGGTATTGGTTGGTTTCGGGCTCTGAGATCCTGGTCATGTCTTCACAGCTTCTAAGAAGACAAAGACAGTGGTGGAGGTGATGTGCACCTTTATACAACTAGCTCTACTCACCCTACAGTGATGTCAAAAATGTTGCTTCCAACAGAGCTGGACACAGCCATGTCCCCGAGCCCCTTCCGGGCCACTATGACACTGGTGATCAGGTCAGGGATGGAGGTCCCAGCAGCCAAGATGGTCAGACCCATAATCTCTTCACTAATGCCAATTGTCTCTCCAACCTAAAAGCAACGACAGGGACAAACATATGAGTGTCTGAAGTCACAAAACCATCAAAACCACTACCATTTGAATGCAACTCCCTTTTAATGGGTTCTTACTCTGTGCTGTGCTGAGTATTGAGATAACAAGGAATAAGGCACCATCACTGACAGAAAGGATTTTATATTTTAATGATATTCAGACCCAAGGGATCAGGAATGTTCACATGAGGATTAAACAGATAATCTCAAAAAAGAGCTATAGAAGACTAGAGTGCAGCCTCTATATGGTTTAGACTCTACCATTTTCATAGAAAACTTGATTTTGGGTGTTTTTGGGCTTTGTAACACAGGAATGTAAATCAGCAAGGCAGCCATGGAGAAAGCAAGTTAGGGAATCAGAAGACCTTGGTCTAAGGTCTGGCTCTGGAATTTATTAAGTACTTGACCTATTGCTAACTGGACCGATTGGGCAATATCTTTGATCCTCACTTTCTTTTTTTCCTTCCAGTTTTATTGAGATATAATTGACATACAGCACTGCATAAGTTTAAGGTATAGAACATAATGATTTGACTTACATACATCATGAAATGATTATCATATAAGTCTAATGAACATCCATCATTTCAGATAGATATACAATTAAAGAAATAGAAAAAAATTCTTTTTCCTTGTGATGAGAACTCTTAGGATTGAGTCTCTTAACAACTTTCATATATAACACACAGCTGTGTTACTTATATTTTTATTCTGGTTTTCTGATCCATAAAGTGGGTACGATAATACTTACAAGGTGGTTGTGAGGACTAAATTATAATTTATGGAAAAGCCCTTTGTAAATGGGTTTGACAATGATGTATGTCATCATTGAAAAGTGACAGGGGCACATTTATTATATTCTTTTGGTCTTTGCCTTTTAAGACTGATGACTTCTCTTTTGGACAGTTGGTCTAGCCTTCAATGTATGCTCCTCCAGTCTCTTGAGAAATGTGTTTGTCTTCGTGTTGTCTTTCTTTTAAAAGCTTTATGTGTTTTCTGGAGTTGGTGAGCTGCAGTTCTGAAAACCTTTACGACAATTCTTTCAGTTTGGTTTCCTACCTGATGACGTCCAGCATTTTTTGAGAAAATGTAAAGGGCCAAAGTAGCATGTAAGAATAAAGGTTTGGGGGGAATAGAATAAACTTATTTCTTTTTTAAAAAATTGAAATATAGTTGATTTACAATGCTGTGTTAGTTTCAGGTGTACAGCAAAGTTAGTTTCAAGTGTACAGTTATATATATATATATTTCAGATTCTTTTCCCTTATAGGTTACTACAAAATATTGAGTGTAGGTCCCTGTGCTACACAGTAGGTCTTTGTTGGTTATCTATTTTATACATAGTAGTGTGTTTATGTTAATTCCAAACTCCTAATTTATCCCTCCCCCCATTTCCCCTTTGGTAACCATAAGTTTGTTTTCTATGTCTCTGTGTCTATTTCTAGAATAAACCTATTTCTAAATCTCTGTTTCGATTTATAGGAATAGCCTGGTTCCCACTAGCTTAAAAACATAGTTGGGAGCTATTTTTATTTTGATGGTCATGCCTGCTCTAGAGCCTGGTGAGCTGAACTAGTTTACCTATCCTCGTGGTGCACAGATTCACTGCTCCCCATTACAAAGTGACATCTACGTGAGCAGGGTCATGGCCTTAATCACTATGGTCTCCCTAATAAGCAGAACATAGGCTGGTACATGGTAGGCTTTCAATACCTATTTGCTGAATAAACAAATCAATCTGCATACTTAGATGATTTTACTAGCATGATTTTTACTGACTCTCCTAGAAGAAGTTAAACAAGAGTTTTGTACAAAAGTGCTCTATTTGAGCAAAATATTCTCCCTGATGACATTTTTTGTTAGATTTGGAGTGAAACATTTTCTTTTTACAAATTTATTTATTCATTCATTTTTGGCTGCATTGGGTCTTTGGTGCTGCGCATGGGCTTTCTCTAGTTGTGGCAAGCGGGGGCTACTCTTCGTTGCAGTGTGCGGGCTTATCGTTGCGGTGGCTTCCCTTTGTTGTGGTGTGCGGGCTTATCGTTGCGGTGGCTTCCCTTTGTTGCGGTGTGCGGACTTCTCGTTGCGGTGGCTTCTCTTTGTTGCAGAGCACGGGCTTTAGGAGCGCGGGCTTTGGGAGTTGTAGCTTGTGGGCTCAGTAGTTGTGGCGCACGGGCTTTGTTGCTCCGCGGCATGTGGGATCTTCCTGGAACAGTGCTCGACCCCGTGTCCCCTGCCTTGGCAGGAGGATTCTTAACCACTGCGCCACCAGGGAAGTCCGTGGAGTGAAACATTTTCAAAGACTGTGAAGATGCTGACTAAATGATTGTCGCCCTCAATAAGTTCCAAACGATCTAATACGTTCTTAGTAATTTAAAATCTTAGAGGGAGTTTTAAAGCAGTGACTATTTAAAAAAAATTTGTATCTGGAGTTTGAATGCCACTACCGACAGAAAATTGCAGAAATTGAAGAGAGGTGTTAATGGTAGTGTGGTTAAGAGTGCTAGCATGGGGTACAAAAAGCCCTGGGTGCAAATCCTAGCCTGCCACTCCTTGGGCACAGTGGCCAACTTCCCTGAGTCTCAGTTTTTCTCATGTGTAAAATGGGGATAATAATATCTACCCTCAGAGTTGTTGGGATGTTACATGTGATGATGCATATAAAGCAAATAGCAACTAGTGTCAGGCATAAAGAAAATGTTCAATAAATATCAGCTGTGATAACTCAGACACTACTCCTGTCCCTCTCCAACGTATCAGAGTGCAACCCTCAGGGTTCCGGCAGCAGGGACAGAAGCTGGCTTAGCAGGGTCAGTTTACAAAGTGGGAAGTCACATGAATCATGACGAATTTTCACTGTACATCAAAACCCTGATGACTCTGGGTGGCTCTAGAAACACTTTCACTGAAGGAGAACCCATTTTCAGAAGCTCATGGTGAGTCTATTTCACTGAAGTGGGCTTTTGGCGAGTCAGAGGCAAGGTGATGGGTGCATGGATGGGACAGCACTCTGATCAAATCGGGGAGCATCAGAGGAGTTTACAGCTAGAAAGGACCTCAGTAGTCTCTTGGGGGAAATTCCTTTGTTTTCTAATAGAAATAAATAACGAGGCCGCTCAGAATCCATATCCAGTGCTGCTCCAATATTCCATGATCCAGTTCCTTGCTGTGGTTTAGTGAGGATCTGCAAAATGTCATATTGGCTAAATGAGACATCAGGTTGTATCTGACTCTTAGCATTAACCGAGAATTAACATCCAATTAACTAGATGAGGGATAGATTTTAATCACAGGTTTTCTTCACCCATGAAATTTACTAAGATGAAGATTCAAGATGTAAAAACAAAAAACTCCCCAAACTAAAGGAAAGTATGCACAAAGTGTTTTATGTGAAGGGCATTTATTTTTGGCCAAACAGTAGCCAAATAATTGTATTAAATAGCATTTATTATTGGTAAAACTGTGGATAACAAAATAGTTGAGCACCAAATGGTGCACTTGTTATCTTTATAGCTTTTACAGTTTAGAAGTACAAATGACAGAATTAGAGCTACAGACTTAGAACAGAATCTGCTATTTTGATCAGCTGTCTGGATCTTTTGAAAGAGAAAAGCATTTCTTTGGAGAAAAGAAAGAGGAACTTCTCATTCATTATTTACTAGTAAGGCTTCTCTTTATGCACTTTATATTTCTGGGCTTTTTTTAGTAATTATTATTGTTCCAGGCATTGTGTTTGTATTTATCTACAAGGGAATGAAAAGGAAACAGGATTGTGGAATGAAGATAATCATTAAAGAGTAGAGAAAGAGATGGAAGCCTGTAGGATGATGTTTCCTAGGATGACTAAAGAGAAATATCTAGAAAACAATATATTCCAATAAGTGAAAAAAATAACTTTTTTTCCTTTATCAGTACATGGAAGAATAAAATTATTAGGAAAGGCCATTATATATCTATAAATGGCAAACAAACACTCCTTTTAGCCTGGAAATCTGGAGGCTGAGAAGCTGCTTACCTTCTGCAATGATTTCTGTTGGGTATCGGTAGCAAACATCTTTCAACAAATGTAGAAAATAATGACTTCGGGGCAAACAGAACTTCTTCAGGGGGCCGAGGATTTTTTGGAAATATTAAGGAAGAGTAATCTGAGGTCATATGTCAGTAAAATAACTGTGATAGGAATAATATAAAATATATTGTAGGAATAATGCTTGGTTTATCAGCCAACATTTCCAGTGGATTTTGTTAGTGATGCCATATCTTCTTTCTGAAAAAATTAAGGTGTAATTTCCATACAGTAAAATTCACCCTTTAAAAAGAGCATACTGTTCTGTGAGCTTTGACAAATATATGCAGTCCTGTTTCTCCACATCCTCATCAACAAATGGTATTGTCTGTCTTTTTGGTTGTAGTCATCCTAATGGTTGTGAAGTGGTATCTTATGTTTATTTTGATTGATTGATTGATTGATTGCGGTACGTGGGCCTCTCACTGTTGTGGCCTCTCCTGCTGCAGAGCACAGGCTCCGGACACCCAGGCTCAGCGGCCATGGCTCACGGGCCCAGCCGCTCCGTGGCATGTGGGATCCTCCCGGACCGGGGCACGGACCCGTGTCCCCTGCACCGGCAGGCGGACTCCCAACCACTGCGCCACCAGGGAAGCCCCTTATGTTTATTTTTGAACAACTTTATTGAGATATAATTCACATACCCTAAAAGTCACCCATTTAAAGTATACGATTCAGCGGTTTTTTAGTATATTTATAGAGATGTGCAACTATCACCAGAATTTAAGTTCAATTTTTCGTCATTCCAAGAAGAAACTCTATACCCGTTAGCAGTCACTTCCCATTGCCCTCCAACCCCCCCAACCCTAGGCAACTGTTACCTACTTTCTGCCTCTACAGATTTGCCTGTTATTCACGTTTCATATAAATGGAATCATACAGCATGTGATCTCTTGTGACCGGCTGTTTTCACTTAGCATAATATTTTAGAGGTTCATTTACACTGTAGCATGTATCAGTATTTCATTCATTTTTATTGTAGAATAATATTCCATTGTGTGGCTATACCACATTTTATTTACCCATACAAGTTGATGGACACCTGGATTGTTTCTACTTTTCGGCCATTACGAATGATGCTGCTGTGAACATTTGTGTATAAATTGTGCAGATGTTTTCATTTTTCTTGGGTATATAGACAGTGGAATGACTGGATCATATGGTAACTCTATGCTTAACATTTTGTGGAACTGCCAAGCTGTCTACAAAGTGGCTGCACTGTTTTACATTCTTACCAGAAACATATCAGGGTTCCAATTTCTATACATCCTCTCTAACACTTGTTATTTTCTGTCTTTTTGATTAAGTCCATCCAAGTGAGTGTGAAGTGGTATCTCACTGTGGTTTTAATTTGCATTCTCTAATGAATAATGATGTTGAATATCTTTTCTTGTGCTTATTAGCCATCTGCATACCTTTCTTGGTGATATATCTACCCAAATCTTTTGTCCATCTTAAACATTAAGATGCCTGTAGACGCTTGCCTTTCTATTATTGAGCTTTAAGAGCTTTTTATATATCCTGGATACAAGTGCTTTATCAGAGAGATATGATTTGCAAATATTTTCTCTCAGTCTGTGGTTTGTCTTTCCAACTTTTTGGGTTTTTTTTTGGCTGTGCCACGTGGCTTATGGGATCTCAGTTCCCCAACCAGGGACTGAACCTGGGCCCTCGGCAGTGAGAGTGCGGAGTTCTAACCACTGGACAGGCAGGGAATTCCCTGTCTTTTCATTTTTTAAATGAGGTTTTCTGAAGAGCAGAAGTTTTACTTTTGATGACATTTAGTTAATCAATTTTTTTTTTTTATGGATCATGGTTTGGTGTCATATCATAGAACTCTTTGCCTATCCCATGGCTATGGGGATTTTCTGTTTTCTTCTAGATGTTTTTAGCTCTTACGTTTAGAAATATCGTGCATTTTGAGTTAAGTTTTGAGTATTGCAGGTGGTAAATGTCTAAGTTCATTTATTTTGGCATATAGAAATCCAATTATTCCAGCAGCATTTGTTGAGAACTCTATCCACATATGTCCTTGGTGTATATTTCCTTATTTCAAATTGCTATATTTTATTTCTGTTAAGAAGTATAATAATTTTAAGGGTATATTAGACAAAGAATACAAGTGGGCAGTTGGAATTTATGTAGTTTATAATAGAGATTAAAAGCATGAGTTTTGGAGCTGCAGAGTGCTGGGTTAGAATCTCAGTCCTGCTTTTTACTACCTAAATGATCCTGGGCATTTTTTTTTTTAATTAGCTCTAAGCTTAACTCTTTATCTGTAAACTGTGGATAATAATAGTACCTCCCTCATAGAAATTATACCCATGTACAAGGACAAAGGGATGTGAATTACCTGGCATGTAGTATACATTCAATCAATAATGGTAACCATTACTATCTTTGAGAATGTAAGACCTTTGCATCGCATTCCTCCATTCATGTGTTGCAACAAAATTCCTGAGAGTTTATTCTGGTGATGGACATTATGACTGGTATTGAATTAAAAGTAGTAAAAGGGAAATACATCATCATTTTTGTAAATGGAGGCTCAAGGAAGAGACCATTTTGTCTCCAGTTCTTTTCCTAAGAGCCAGTTGGATGAGAACATGAGGTGAGTGGCTGCCCAAGAGAAAGTAAGTGCTGCTGAGCCAGGAAAAACTCTGACATTCCTCCAGGCCTGGGTTGGCCTGGCTTCAGGCTTTAGAGGGCAAGAAGCAGTGAGACTTGCCTTTCTTCCACATGGCTGTCTGGGGCTACACCGATTTGAGTCCACACTATAGGGAAAGGCCAGGAGACGAGGGAGAGTTAAGTGGAATAAATTCCTTTAGTCCTGGAATATGTAATTTGTTAGATGCAATACTGTTGTGACAGTTTCAGAAAGCAAACACACTGGTTAGCCACTTAGCAACCAAGAGAAAATCCAGGCGGATGTGTGTCACTCTCAAGGCATTACCTGATGTGCCCACCAGACCATCAAGTAAGAGAATACTGCGATCCAGGTGATGGAGCCGAAGAACGTGATGGGAAAAAACTTCCTTGATGACTGAAAGAGAACCAGAAAGAGGAGAGAATGTGAGTGCTAACTGAGGTGATCTGCTAGCTCAAAGCTGAGACCACCAATTCAGCTACTTCTCCCTCACTGCCTGCAGTCCTGGTAGAATTAGCAATCAAAATAAATGACCAAGCATTGGTCAAGCTGGGACGTTAAGATTCTCTCTTGAGAATGTGAAATTGGTGGAAGCCGAACCATCCCAAAGCTAGTTTCTGAGATGGAAGTGTTTTGAGGAGAATGTCTGTTCCTGTTGCTGGTTTCTCAGAGGCTCTCTGCTCCTGCCCTTTCCAAGGCTTGGTTTCTCAGTCTTCCCTTCAATCCCTCAATTCCCCACATTCTCTCTCCCTCTCCTGCTCCCTTTTCTACCTTCTCTTCAATTTCATGAGAATCAGTTTCTATTGCTTCAACCCACGTATGCTAATAATCCATATGCCAGAAAGCCTACAGGATTAATTACATTTAACAAGAAGGATCAATAGTTTCCAAAATACATTGGCTCATTTTACGGTCCCGTGAATTATGAGGAAAAGCCACACAGAAGGAGCCATCACCACAATTAATACAGATTCCTGAGGATGGCCAGTCTCCAGGACGTTGGAGCCACACAGGTATCAACAGCAGATGCTCACTTGTGCTGCTCTCCAGGGGGTGGCACAGTAGACGTTCTTGGGAATGCTTTTTCTCCTGTTCTCCACCCCTAACTATGTTGTATCCAATTATGCTTCTAGCCCTGGGCTCTGTGCAATCTCAGGCTTATAGTATGAGCACTTTCAAAGTTTCTTTCAAACATCAGCCAAAATCAGACACTCAAAATGCAGTGTTTCTTATCCATCCCACTATAGGGAAATCCACGCTTGCACCGGATGGTAGTGGTGTCCTGTTGATGCCCTTTCTGCAAAACTGGGATCCTTTAAAACATGCTCAGATAACAGGATGCTCTCAGAGAGTCTCTCATTTATTATTGCCAAACACTTTTTCTTTCAAAGCTTTCCACTTTGAGAAACAATCTCATTTTTTGCTTTGATAACGCCATCCAATTTTGTCCAGAGAAATGAATCCTGGAGTGGACCTGGATGAAAGCTATCTCACTTGTCTGAAGAGCTGACCTTGGGCAGTCACATAGAACACTTCTGCCATGGCTTTTGAGAGCTTCATTAAAAGGAAAAGGTAAACCTGTATATGGTAATCTTTTGAATATCTTTAATGATGAACACAGTCGATTGCCCCAAAAAGGCTTATATTCTTTCTATTAATTTCAAGTTTTTAATATATGTTTTCATTATCATTCACATGGTTCTATTAAATTTCACAATAACCATATTTCTTTCTTTCAGTGGTTGTGGTTTTTCTTGGGCCTTTTGTTAGCTGGGATGTCTGGAAGACCAGTGGGCTTGATTAAATTGGAGAAAGCATTAACCACGGTGAGTAGCCACAACCTTATTCTTAAATGCTTCCCCCTACTCCTTCCCTTTCTTAGAAGGAAAATATTTCAGCCAAAGACTCAGACTCCTTCTGGGGACCTAAGCACTATTTAATGGGTTATGGGAAAAAAGTCATCAACTTTTCAAAGTGGAGCTTGAGACATTCACTTTGAAAGCAAATTCCTTTAAAGCAAGGGGTTCAGCTGGATTCTGGAGACCAGAGTCCCTGAGCCTTGGAATTGCCAGTGCCAAGAAATCAATTTTTCCCAGGCAAGGCAATCAGTTGATTAGAGTCCCTATTCTTTTCCTCTGGCCACAAGTCACTGTTTCAGGATCCTAGGTGTGATGAGGGCTTCATCGCCCACGCCATGCTCTATCACAGGGAAGAGAAGGGCCCCCTCTTGTGATGTGGGACCACCCATGTGGTTTGAGCAGTAGCCAATCCTTAGCTTGATTTTGAGCATCCTGGGAGGGAACGGAGTACCATCTCCACACTTTATGACATGGCACATGGACTGGATATCCTGGGAGAGTCCTCATTTCATAGGTATGGCCCCTTTCCAGGTTAGCTCACTTACTAAGTATGTAACTATTATTTTATTATTTAATTTTTTTGTACCTTTGCATGTCTGTTCATTGATACAGCATCACAAGTCAGAATCAAATTATTTGAACATATTTCTCATCTAAAAAATATCATCCCTGAACCATAGACCATTCCCAGTCAAAAGGCAGAAAGTAAGGAATCGGACTAAGGATTTAAAGGTGCTAAGTTTACACCAACATATTATTGAAAACCTCTGTGTTTCAAAATTTGATGCTTATGAGTCTTAATCAAGAAGCCAATTAGTCATTAGTGGACATCTAAATGTACCTAGTATTGGATTAGGAACTCATTGAAAAAAAAAAAGGTTTAAAAATATTTTTTCTTTGTAAAATTTCAGGTCTTCATCATTAACTAGGGGTAGGTAAAGGCTGGGCACTTACGCTGTACCCAGATCTTGAACTAGACATGAAATTCAAATCTAGGTCTCTCTGACTATATAAGCACGCCTTCCTAGATGTTAGGAATCTAGGTTATACTCATTCCTAAAGAAAGACAGGACCAATAATGCTCAAAATATACCCGACTTTGGACACATAATGATGATCATCATAATACTAGCCTATGCTCTGAATGTCAGCAAATAAAGAGCCTCAGGGAAATACAGACTAGCACTCCAGCTGTACAACCGTCTGCCTCACCCAGCCTCCCATATTGTTCCTGCTTTGGAAGCATCAACCTTTCATGCATCAACAGTTTGGTTAAGTGTTTCCCCGACTGTCAAAGTACCTTACCATTTCCAATCTCACAGCCCAGGTAATGCCTTCTTTCGTTTTTTTCTGGACTATTTCCCTTCTTCGGACTCTGTGATCTCATTCCAGTTATCACTGCCCAGTAGCACGTGTATTCTTTAGTTACCAGTCTCATTGGAAGGAAGAAAAGAGCTCCTGAAGCCAAGGTCTGATGTGTCAATTTATGGTTAGTAATGGCGGTTCATCCTGACATCTGCTGGGATGGACCTCATACCAATCAGCAAAAAGCAAACTGTATCCATGTGTTGGCTGGCACGTGTGTCCATTTTGTTCCAATGTAATGGTTTACTTGTATAATTGACAGCTAACGTTCTCATTAGAAGTTTTTAGTACATCAGAGTGATATTTTCTTGGCTTAAAAAACATTACTGGACATTAGCTGGTCGCACAAATTGGCCATCTCCTAACTTATTTAAATTCGACAAATATTCACTAAGCATCTCCTCTGTGCAAGGTTCTGGGGCATACATATTTAACAGAGTTCTCCAAAGCAATCCTGTTAAAGATTAAAAGTATGGTCTCTGGATTCCTATGACCAGTACTGAAATCCTTGCTCATCAATTACCAGCTCTGTGCCCTGAGACAAATTATTTAATCATTCTAAATCTCAGTTTCTTTCTCTGTAAAATGCGAGGAATAACAATGTCTAGTAGTTCTGAGGACTTCCACACACATGAAGTCTAGCAAACTGCCTGGCACAGAACAAGTGCTTGGATAGTAATGGCAGATGTTATTAGACAATATTAAGCTCATTTTGATTTTTAAGAGTTAAGAAAGGTGAAAGTGACTGCAGAGATATGGCCTAGAGTCTTGGCTTTGCTTCTTATTAGCTGGTTTCGCTTGGACAAGTCACTCAACTTCTCAGGGCCTCAATCACTCCATCCTTGCTAGAACCGTGCTTGGTACATAGTAGACACAATAAATACTTGGTGAATGAACCAATGCATGATAGAAATTGCAAAAACCTAGCTGGGTTCTGAAGCACCTTCCTAGCTCTGATGGGTCATATTCTGATATCTCATGAGATGCATTCTTGTTTTGTAAGAACATCCGTCCTAGGCCATGAGAAAATAAAACTTTCGGGGTCTTTTTGTTTCCTTTATTATTTTCAATTTTCATCAAAGACATATTCCTCATTAAGGTTTGCATCTCAGTTTTTGTACTTCTAAAAGCCATTAATTTAAGAAAACTATAAAAGTGAAGCCCACCATTAATTATCTGAGCTGGAAATATGCATAATTCAACAAGCACTATCATATAATTTGCACATAAATGAAGTGTAAATAAAAGCAAGTGGGAGTACTATTTACTCTGAAACTAGATGTATACCTTAAAAAAAATCGGGGAGGGGAAGATGGCAGAAGAGTAAGATGCGGAGATCACCTTCCTCCCCACAGATACACCAGAAATACATCTACACGTGGAGTAACTCCTACAGAACACCTACTGAATGCTGGCAGAAGACCTCAGACCTCCCAAAAGGCAAGAAACTCCCCATGTACCTGGGTAGGGCAAAAGAAAAAAAGAAAAAACAGAGACAAAAGAATAGGGACGGGACCTGCACCAGTGGGAGGGAGCTGTGAAGGAGGAAAGGTTTCCACACACTAGGAAGCCCCTTTGCGGGCGGTGGGAGGCGGAGGGGGGAGCTTTAGAGCCACGGAGGAGAGCACAGCAACAGGGGTGCAGAGGGCAAAGCGGGGAGATTCCCGCACAGAGGATCGGTGCCGACCAGCACTCACCAGCCCGAGAAGCTTGTCTGCTCACCTGCCGGGGTGGGCGGGGCTGCGAGCTGAGGCTCGGGCTTTGGTCTGAGCGCAGGGAGAGGACTGGGGTTGGCTGCATGAACACAGGCTGAAGGGGTTAGTGCACCACGGCTAGCCGGGAGGGAGTCCGGGAAAAGGTCTGGAGCTGCTGAAGAGGCAAGAGACTTTTTCTTCCCTCTTTGTTTCCTGGTGCGCGAGGAGAGGGGTTTAAGAGCGCTGCTTAAAGGAGCTCCAGAGATGGGCGCGAGCCGCGGCTGAAAGCGCGGACCCCAGAGACGGGCGGGAGACGCTAAGGCTGCTGCTGCCGCCACCAAGAAGCCTGTGTGTGAGCACAGGTTACTATCCACACCCTGCTTCCGGGGAGCCTGTGCAGCCCGCCACTGCCAGGTTCCCGGGATCCAGGGACAACTTCCCCAGGAGAACGCACAGTGCGCCTCAGGCTGGTGCAACG